AAAGTTTTTTTTAAACCATGTAGAGTTTCCGTTGCTTCAATTTGAAAACCTGCTTCTTCAACAATAAACTTTTTTAGAGTTTCAACATTTTCGTTTAATTTGTTTTCATACACCCATCGTTTGTATCTAATTAACATTATTTCAGGAACTTTTTTTTGCAGTTGATGGTACAATGTCCCATCGCCAAGTTCTTCTGTTCGATTTGGTTCTTTTAAGTTTGTTACTGCCACATCTAAAAAATCCGCAAACCTTTCAACGTCTTTGGGATTATTTTCACTCATAGGTTTAAAGTTGTTCAATTCATCCAAATACATAAGGACTTTTCTCCTTGTTCCACAATATTTTCTTTCAAGTCTTTCTTTTGCAACTTCATAAGCGAATGACGAATGCCCAAGTCCTTCAATTGCTTTTAATGCGTCTCCACATTAATATTTACGTAGCTGAAGTAATTTATACCCAGATGTTGCTGGGGCTTCATCAATACATGCGTAGAATGAAGCTTTTTGATTTTCATAGTTCTTTTTATCGTCATTAAACATGTCCAATTTTTGCAGTCTTTGGAAAAATGGAAAATGAAATAATTGGATTCAAACCAATTATTTCATTTTCCATTTTACGCATAATATTCGTTAATTTGATTGGTTCAATTTCGCTACTGCCATTTTCTTCTTTATTATCTTTACACTGGCCATTACTTTTTTGAGTACTTAACCATTGATAATATTGCTTTTTTGTTTCCATTTTAAGTTCTTTTTCTATCCTTTGATGTTTTAAACTTGATTTTTATACTTCCATTGCGCAATATCCATTCGTTTACATGTTCCATAATTTCCGCAAATTCGTCGTTTAATTTTTCATTTTCTTTATTGATTTTTCCTACATTTTCTTTTAATTCCAGAAGTTCGTATTTCTTTGATAATTCAACCATTATCTCGAGAGCTTCGTTTTGATTCTTAATTACTCAATTCGCGTATCTTGTTTTTACAAGTGAGTTCATCGTCTCCAATTTGCTGAATAATTTGATGTTTAGTTCGCGTAAACGAAGACTTTAGAAGTATTTTCTTCATGACCAATGCAGATACTTCATTTTGAACGGTCAACTGATCTTCCATTTGGTTATTTGATTTTTTATTTTTTATTTTTACCATTCTTCCGTATTGAAGAAACTACCCTCTGCTACCAATTATGATCCGATGGCGATCACAAATAATACCGAATATGTATTGTAACTTATATTTTAAAGATCTTAACCGTTTTTACATTAACTATATTACTTAAAATCTTTATATTTTTGTATCTGAAAAACAACAACAACAACAAAACTCTATTTATTCAAAAACTTCGTTCAATAACAAAAAAACACAATCGTTCAAATAGTCGCCACATAATTGTTATTTAGTTCGTTATAGCCATATTGGCGCTATTTACTGGTTATGTCGATCGTGGTATCGGAATGTTATTTTTCTTTTATGCTAATTCAATATTCTTCCAATCAACATGTTTATTGTTAAATTTAACAGATACCTAAACTTGTTGGAGAAGACTTTTATAAAACTGATTAACTTCATGAGAATTAAGTACGTTAGTAATGTTTTAATACAACACTTTTAATATTTTACTTTGCTTTTAAACGTTACAAAATCATACTTGCTACTTAATAAAATAATAAATTATTTTATTATTTATGAGTTTTAACAGATTGTTTTAATTTTTTAGAAGTATATAAATAAAAAGTTAATTTTTTTTATATCTGAAAATTAGAAGTATTAGTCAATATTATTATTTAAATTAAAAAAAAATAGTTTGAGGAGTTTGTAGCTCTTAACTATATAATATACATATAAATAATCGCATAAATTGGTAATGATGCTATGTTTATTTGCGTGCATATTATTTTTTCAGAGTGACAACTTTTTAAACTTTTTTTTTGATAAGGTTGGCTTAGACTCGTAATAACTCTGTGTGCCCTGCAACCCTTTACTACGCTACTTCCTTAGTAAATCGTAGTTTTGCAGCATTGCGTTAAAAATGTTTTGTTTCAAACTTAAAACTTGCATTATCTTGCATTATCTTGCAATATCTTTGCATTATTGTTTTTATTTACTGCTATTAATTTTGTGTAACTTGCCTATAATTTTGATCTGTTATTCAAATTCTGAGATAATGAAATTTACATAAAGTAATTGGAACTGATCATTGTGGTACTCCTCTTTCCACAACTTTTTATTATGATAAATATTTATTTACAACTACTCCTTTTTTTCTGTTATTCAAAAATGAACTACACTATCTAACCCAACGGGCATTTGTTTTTAAAAGTTACAATCTAAATGTCTTTTAAACGTTTTTTAAACGTCTTTTAAACGTTCTTTACGTAAGAATGTTTAGAAGACGTTTAAAAGACATTTAGAACGTAACTTTTAAAAACAATATTTTAAATTATGCTGAAAACCTCAGTTGTTCACTTTTTTCAATCACTCAATTGAATCGGCACAAAGGGCCGATTCAAATGAGTGATTGAAAAATGTTTTTCTAACTGTAAATTTTTTTTTTTGACTGTAAATTAATATTTATAATAAGATAAATTGTGCTAATAAATAAATATTAGCACCAGCAAATAATGTCTTCATTAAACGAATATCGAACAGCAAATAGTTAAAATAACGTTAATATATTAGTAATTTGATTTTGAAAGAACCGTGCTTTTGGAGTAAAATGTAATAGGTATGGGGTGAAATCGGACAGCAAGTAAATTACAACATACTAACGAAATTTCTTAATTAAAAACTAATGAAGTCGTACATTTCTTACTACTTAAAAAATATTTATTGCTCTTCGTTAAACGACTATTACTGTTAGTTAAACTTCGTTAAACGAATAGTAATATTCGTTAGGCGAATAGTAATATTCATTAGGCGAATAATACTTTTCTTTAAACGAATTGTACTATTTGTTGAACAAATAATTTTATTCGCAAAACGAATTGTGATTTTTTTTTATTCATTTTTTTCTTTAACTTTTATTTAAGACACCCTAAGGTCTTGTCATAGAGCACCATGGAAGAGGATTTAACCAGGAAAATCACGCCTCCTTACTTATAGATAGCGCAATATATGCCCAGAGCAGAGTTCACTTCGAACCCTGAATCTCTTCCTTCAAACCCTGGATCTCTTGCTATTATGTATATTACATTATGATATATTATGTATATTATATTTAAATTACAATATGTTTAACAAAATACTAAAAAGTGATATTAAAAAATTAATAAATAAAAAATAATAGTAATAATAAAAAAAGTAATATTAAAAATAAAAAGCGAATAAAAATAATTCTAATAATTACAAGCAAAAAATATAAGATGAAACTATGAATAAACAAATTAATCTAATTTTAATGTAAGGTCAAAAATTTATTATGATTTTCTTATTTGTTTTGATTCTACTGCAATTTTTTTTTCATATGCTTTTATCGTACTTTTAACAAAAAAAATTTTCTCTTTTATTTTTTTATTTGAATTGTTGATTTACATCTTTATTTTTAAATATAGCAAACAAAATTTTGAAAAATGATGCTTGACCGGTATAAAAAGTTAAACAAGGATACGTTTTGAAATTGCTGATATTAAATTTATTATTACATATAGCATAAAAGTAATATAATATATGAACATAACTTAGATGTAATGGAACAGTTTTAATACTCCATTATATCTTAGCTATTTTCATCGTTTTTATTTTTATTTTTTTTATGGTTTTTAAAATTCCGCATAAATTTAATGACCAGCATACATAATTAACCAACAATCATAAGTTAAATTTAAGAAAACGTTTTTATAACACTTTTATTAACATATAGCTTAAATTGACATGGGTGTAACAGTAAGCGATTTGTTGCAGTTTATAATGAGGGTTGGTGATAGTTGTAAAATGTTTTAATTTCTTATAGCTGTACATATGTATATATTTAATGTAGAGTATATGTGTATGCATACTGTAGTAGCATGTGTCATTAGTATAAGTTATTAATACAAAATTAGTTGAAATTTAAACTGGATGTAAATTAACTGGTATAATGTAAATAACAATTTTGTAACACTTATAGAGTGATCTGTAGCGTTTTTTTGTGGTTGAAAATATGTTTGAGTTTTTCAATTTAAATCAGAGAAAATCCTTTTTATCAAATTCAAACTTTTTTGTTGGAAAACTCTATAAGATGTTTTTGATACTTTGACTAGGGTAAAAAAGGCTTTAATAAATACATTAGATAGCGAGAGCTATATCATTTTAGATTTCTGATAATTGTGTCACTAGTGAATAAGATGTAAGACTCAAAATCGTTTTAGGAATCATTTGTTATTTATTTTATTATGGTGACACAAGATTCTTATAATATTTATAAAGCGCTGTCAAAACTTTCAAAGTTACCCCAGGCTTTAACACAACTTTACACAAGTTTTACTACTGTAACTAATATTAATAACTCCAAACATCAAAACAAATAAAAATATTTAACTGCAGTTGTAAAGTTGTTCTATATCTATAATAAATTAAATAACAAATTACACATATAAATAAAAATATTCTTTAAAAAAAGTTTAAACTAAAGTCATAGAAATAAAACCAGCTGATCTCAAATTTTGTCAAATTACATTGCTACGTGCTGGCTATCAAATCATACATCTCTGCTGTGTATATATATATATATATATATATATATATATATATATATATATATATATATATATATATATATATATATATATATATATATATATATATATATATATATATATATATATATATATATATATGTATATATATATATATATGTATATATATATATATATATATATATATATATATATATATATATATATATATATATATATATATATATATATAATATATATATATATATATATATATATATATATATACACACTTGTGCGTACGTGTGTGTGTGTGTGCAACATGCCTGCTGCAATATAAAACGTTATATACTTAATAATATAAATATATTTAAAAAATAAGCAAATTTGTTATCATAAAAGTCAGCGCAAATAAGTTAACTAAAGAAAGCAGGTGTTGAAGGTTTGCTTACATTCTTTAATCCACTATTATGTATAGGTTTGATAGCAGACAATAACAATTTATGTTTCTATGCTTTCTATGTTATGAGATTTTTTCATGTGTTTTACTAAAGCGTATCGCTGTAAAAATTCACTTGGACATAAAGAACATTTGTGCATTTGCTCACCCGTATGTATCCTTCTATGTTGTTTATAGACGTTTGAGCGCATAAATTTTTTACCACAATATTCACATTGAAAAGGTTTATATCCTCTATGAATAATACGATGTTGGCGTAAGTTGCTGCTTAGAGTAAAACCTTGACCGCATTCACTACATTTAAAAGGTTTTTCATCGGAGGGGTGACCCCGTAAATGCTTATACAATGTACTTTTTGTTGGAAAAACTTTCTTACATATTTTGCAAGAAAGATTACGAGTTGATGGCAATTGCTCATCTATAATAGAATGTCCGGAATCGCTTCCAATTGATGTTACAGGAGAAGTGCAACCAACGCTAGCTTTGGAGTCTTCTTTTTCAGATTCTACTAAAGTAAAGCTTTTAGGTGCTTGATAATTAATTACATGTTCGTCAATACGGTCAAGATTAGAATCAAAATCATTTGGTAAAACAAACACTGGTGGTTCTCTTTCAACTGTTTCATCAGATTGGTTAGAGGAAGTTGTTCCTAAATTTGTATGTTGTTTTTGCTCATAATGTGGATAATGGTCAGTTTTTCGCATATATATGCTTTCGAAGAGACTCCTTTGCTCCTCTAGTTTGGTTTCGTCTTGCAGCTCCCTTTTATTATCAAGAGGCGAACGACTTCTTGGACGAGGAGATACTGTACCACTTCTATTAACAACATGAGGAGAATGCGACCTTGGTACTCTATAATGAACTATTGGATCAAATGATATCGAATCAAGATCAGGTCTTTTTATTGCGTTTTGAGATGGGAAACAAATTTGTGTATGACCGTTTCCGTATACTGGAGATCTTCTAGGAGAGCGGGGATGATATTTTATAAAATCAGGAACGGACACATTTGCTGGTATAGGAGGTAAAGTCGAAACTATATACTCTGTTTTATGCAAACTATAATGATTCGGTTCCAACGGCGTAGGTCTATGAATTGGAGGTCTGGCTCTTGAACGATTATGGTATGACGCTTCTATATTTGTTTGGTGCTTAGATGATGACAACAAATGCGAGCGAACAGAATCTATTTCAGAAAGTGGGTTGATGCTAATTTCTGTGTTCATTCCAATGCTTGTGTATCTTTTTGATTTCCAAGCTTCTCGCGAACAATCTACGCAGCGTGTAGTATCTTGTTTCTCTCCTCCTGCAAGATCATTTGTAACAAGTTCTTTTGGTTTGTTTTGCTTCTTGTCTGAAAGTAATTTTTTTTTCTATAAGTAATTTTGATCAACAACAATCCTTTGATTGTCTTATCAAAAAACACAAAAAAAGTATGAGCAAATTAAAGCAAAAAGTATGAGGGGAAAAAATATTATAAAAAACATATCCATTGAATTAGGATTTCTCTTGAGCATCATTGTAAATTTGACTTAAAGTACCTTAGACCGCATTTTTGGTGCAGCATCATATTTACTCATAGTTTGAAAATTTCAATTATACAACAAATGAAGCCGCTCACCCCGAAAAATGATGTCGTAAGAGTTTTCTTCTAATTTTGACTCTTGCAATGTTATGATACAAGGTATTCCATTTGATTTTCGTGGTCTTACTCCAATTATTTTATCACAAGGTTGACTTTGCTCGGATTCGTACAGCAGTTTCAAAACTTCTAATGTTGTACCAACCTCTACCTTCATTACCACGGATCCTGATTCGTATATCATGACCTAGTAGAAAAAAAAGGTAAAATGTTTTGCATTTTTTATAGTTTTTTACGTAACTAAGATTTAATTTCATTATTAAATGTAGAAAAAAAACTGAGCCTGAGCCTATTATCAACACGCTAATAATATTGTTACTTCTATTTATAGCTTATTTGCCTTGAAAAATGTGAACTGCCTAGATTTTTACCTACAAGTTTTATTATTATTATTATTATTTTGTATTTTCGTCATCTTTATAATAAATTATTTACTTTTTTTTTAGTTAAGATGGGGGCAGGCAAAACTCTTATCATCAAGCTCCGTTCTATCAATTACATATTAAACAAATATTAAACTACCATATAAAAAAAAATTACTCTGTAAAGTAATATTAAATACTTTTAAATAAAAAGTGCTACATTTTTTTTTCCTTCTGAATACTGTACAATTTAAAATTAAAAAGTAATTATCAAAAATTTTTAAATAAATATTTATATAATTTCAATTTTAGCTTATTTTTTAACTATATTTATATTTTTAATTATAATTTGCTATTAACCAAAATAACCTGTCATTAATCAATTAAATGGTCATTAACCAGTTAAATGGTCATTATTTTTGAATTCTGAAAGATCATTTTATAAAATTTAAAATTTTACAATGAATATTAATTTAGTTGTTGCTCTCACGTTTTAGGAAAAGGGAGCAAAAATTTTTATATTTTTTTGTTCTCAGGCTCCAATCATCGCAATTTTTTCCAAAGCACATAAAAACATAAAAAAGTTTGTATTCAGCTCCATGTCTAGAGGTTATTTTTTTTTTTTTTTAAGTTTTGTTTTAAGTGCCTCAAGAAAACCTGGCGGTCTTGTCACAAGGCACCGCGGAAAACCATTTAACTAAGAAGTTCACGCTTCCTTTTTTACCGATGGTGCCAAATATGTCCAGAACTCGCTTCGAACCCTGGATATCTTGCACCTAAAGCAAGCGCTCTAACCACTACCATCACTAACACAAAAAATTCTGGATCCACCCTTAGGGCAAAATAGAACCGTTTTATAAATATGTTTAAATGCAACAGATTTGTAATAAACTTGTATTTTTACAGAATATAGGATGCATTTTTTCAATTTATCTTTTTATTTATAAAGGGATGTATCTCATTACAGAGCATATTTAGTGAGGGGTCGTCCGTAAAGTACGTATGCTTTTTTATGCCATCCTCCCCCCCCCCCCCGAAATTTGACGTACGCTTTTTTGAGTACTCTCTTCCTCCCTAAAAGTACCTACGCTTTTAACCTACTAACCCAACATTTTATGATATATTTTTTAATTTAGTGTCTCCATAATTTTATAATTGATCTGCTGCCCCCTTATCTCAGAAACGCCATTTGAATACCTCCTCTTCCTCTCCGAGCGTACGTACTTTATGGACGATCCCTAATATATTTCGGAATAAATATGTTTCAGAGTTACAGAATAAATGAATAGTCAGTATATGACCCAAGAATATATGAACATGTATAATATATATATAAAAAATATTTTTCATGCATATAAAAAAATATATAAATGCAAATAGATTTACGTTATTAAAAGATTAAAAAAACTTAAGTTTTTTACAATGCGCATCTTATAAAACAATTGCTTTTTTTACTGTAACTTTTTTTTTATTTTTGAGAGCGCTAAAACCTTTTTTAAATGTTGATTCTTGATTTTATTCATTTTATTCAAGTGAACTTTTCTTTTTCGATTTCGTCACAGATTAGTTTTTATTTCATTATTTGTTTTTTGATTGTTAAAACAATCATACCTTTTTATCCTGTCATATAAATACCAATTACCATAATTCACAATTCAAACAATATCGGCTAGTTCGAAGAGCTTTTGTTGGATACAAAAACTGCTGAATAAACATTATGATGTGCTTCTAAATACCTGTGAGTCAACAATCAAATGGTTTTTATTTTTGTCAATCAATTGCTAAGTTGTTGTTGACGGGACAAATATACCACGTTACCTTGCTATTCTCTTGTGTCTTACGCGTACGTGTTTTTGAGCTGATGTGTTTTGAACAAACATATTAATTTTTTTATTGTTTATAGTGAATACATGTCTGTAACTAATTCCTCTGTGAATTCACAATTTGTATATAGAGGAGAAACACAGTCAGATTATGGGAGGGGGAGGTGTAAAAACAAATTTTTATAGCGGGAGAATTTTCAAAAATCAAATCTATTTAATCGAAATCAATAAATCTGTGAGTGGATTTATTCAACAAGTGCTCAAAAGATAAATTTATGATAAATAAAATAAAAAGATAAATCACTAAGCACTTATGTTAAGTGAAACCAATATAATGCAAATAAGTAATACATCTTTTAACTTTATTCAAAATTGAATTTAATAGAAATAAATTGTCTTAATTATAAATATAAAGATTTAAAGAAAAAATCTAAAAATTTAAAAAGTTTTTTTAAAAATTGTTACTATATCATGTTATATGTTTCTTGCATAATTATTATTAGAAATTTAAAAGGACATAAAATAGAACTAATGAGAAAAATGTTAAACAACGTGCTGCGCATTGCACATGAAAACTGATATGGCTAAACAGTGCACTTAAAAAAAGACGTTAAAAAGTGCGACTTATAAATACCTTTGGTTTACAAAGATTCTTAACAAAATTCGTTGAAAAAACAATTGGTGTTTAGAAGTATGGTGTTTAGCACAACAACATTTTTAAACTTAAAGATAATAAAAAAATTTAAAACGTTCGAAAGGATTATGTAAAATTGACGAAAATAAAACAAAATGAAATTCCTGATTTAAAAAGAGAAATCTCACTTTCATTTTGTTATATTCATTAAAACTATTTTCTTTCTTTCAAATTTCGAAATTTTCTTTTTATTTTGCTTAGTAAAGCATTTCAAAGGATTGCCACTTCGTTATTCTACGTCAAAATGAAAACTGCATTCTTTTGTTAAACGTTTTGTGCTAATTTGCGTTTTGTTGGCAGAAGTATTTACTCGGCAAGTCTGTTTTCCTTTGTAAGTCAGTCTTATACAAAGAACCGCAACTTTAGGTAAAAACAATACGTAGAAACGACAAGACTGCCAACAAGATGAAAGAAATATTTTGTGTGTGAAAAATGCGACATCGGTCAATAAATAAAACTGAAAAATTCTTATTAAAAAAAAACCAATAGTTTGTTTTGAAAAAATGGCATCAATGTATTCCGAAGTAAATTGCTTTCATTAACAATGTTTATTTAAGATTTTTTTTTTTTTTTATCGACAAATACTGTAATAAACTAAAAAAATACGAAACACGCAATAAACAGCAATCAAGCATTGCTGCGTTTGAACTTTTCATGACGTTACAAAAGTTTCAGTGTTGTTAATGTCTTCAAGAAGTATATATTATAACTGCAAACAGCAGATTTTTAAACAAATTTATTCATATTTTTTAGGGTTATTTAGTTTGTTACAAAAAAGTTCTGCTATTTGTTTGTTCTTGGTTTTAATACCCGCGTTGAAAAAAATTTCACTGCATCAAATTTATATATAAAATAAAAAAATAAAAAACATTTTTAGAAACACAAAGTAATTGATTTTTGATATCTTTTGGTCAAAAATAGTTATAAATCTTAACTCATATGTGCAACGATTTAACTTTACATAAAATGTAATTTTGTTTTTCACTTTTTAATAAATCTCTTATCAAGAAAAACTTGTGTTCGCCAAACGGTTGTTACTTCAACGTAAGTGACAACCGTTTTAACATTACGTTTAAAATTCAAAAATAACAGAAAAATAAATCTCAGTTATATATTTCCTCGAGGTGAAAAATTCATACCCACGACATAGTAAATTCATACCTGTCCACTTGTATTTTTCAACTTTGGATCTGCTGCCATGATTGATATTATATCATTGTCTTCGTCTTTAGCCACGGCTACCATACCTTTGGGAGCTGCCAGCTACGAGAAAAGAAACTGTGTTATTGAATGAAATGATTTTCTTTCGCAGTCTTTTATGACTTTAATAATCTCATGTTGAGCGCACACTTTTCCTTTGCGCTTGCACACTTCCTACTGAATAATTTATTGAGCACTCCATCGCTATGCCAAACCAACCAAACAAAAACAAAAAAGCAGAAACAATAAAAAAACGAAAAAAACACGTGCGTCTTTTGTTTTTATTTTTTTAATCAAAATTTATTTGAAGGTATTTGAAACTATGCAATAAAGAGAAAAAGCGTATTTTTTAAAGTTGTCTAAGGGAGATCATTTTAAAGAACAATTTACTTGATATCATAAACCAATACAAAACTTATAAGTTAAATACTACTTATGCGTGTGTGTGTATATATATATATATATATATATATATATATATATATATATATATATATATATATATATATATATATATAATTACATACGTATACATTTACACATACATGTATATACATTGTATAAATTTTATTCGATTCTTTATCAAGTTGATTCAGCCAATTTAAACTAATTAGTCTAATGATTCTGGTAAAATGTAACACCCTGTTACAAAAAGAAACGAAAGGTAAGTAAAATTAAAAAAATAAAAATAAAAAAGCATATATAACAATATTCTTCTTCTATAGTTTTGAACTTCCCATTCAAATGACATGAACAATAATTTTATTATATTTTGCATTTATTTTTGGTTTTACTTTATGATTTAAATCAATTGCGATAACAAAAAATGTACAACCCAAAATTTACATACCATCGATCAAGTATTCTATAGAAATTCATGCACCACCGATCTTGTATACTATAGAAATTTTTTTTCAATAAAAATTTTAACAGTTATTTTTAAAAAAACTTTGCAATACTTTGCCAGAGGAGATAGCAATAAAGTTGTCGGATACGGTTTAAGTGCATTAACTTGAAATATTTTCCAAAATTGATATCTTTTTTTAAGAATGCGTATCCTAAATGTTAAGGGTATGATAAAAATAAACAAATACAAAAAAGAAAAATGTAATATTGTAAATATTGAATTTGAGCTAGAATATACCGTGTACGTTAAGCATTTTGACCATACGTCATACATTATGTCGGTTACCATTTGATAAACAATGCGGCTATTCAAAAAAAAAGTTATTTTTAGTTTTTTAAAAACATTTTGTTTGAGTATTTTCATATATAATCAAACAACTTGTAGATTTATAACGAACAATTTCTTTTTTTATAAATTATTTAATTTACAATTAATATTTTCATTTTAATTACTTCAATTTTTGTCTTGCTAATATGTTTTCTAATAAGCATTCTTTTGGTGGGTCATTCTCCAAGCAATTATTTTTCATTCTTAAAATGGTGTGATGTTTTTTTTTTTATTTTTAAATAATTTAATTTTCGTTTTTTGTTTTTAATAATCACAATTTTCATATAAGCTTAAAGAATCATTATTTTGATCCAATGTTGGATCTCATTTCGTTTTTAAATCCAATACTCGAGGATCTAATTATTTCCAGGCAAAGGTATTATTTAATCTTTTTTTTTTATTATTATAAAGTTTCAAAACATCAAAATTTAAATCAAGCTCTGTTATAATTTGCTCTTTGTACAATTTGTAAATCAAGTTACCAAATATATACATATATATATATATATTCAAAAAAAAAAAACATTGTGCCAGCATGCTGCGTCCTGATACAAATTAATGCGTAGAAAAACACATAAAAGAGTTTACAACATTTCGTATAGCGGACATATTGACAGGGAAAGAAAACAAACGGAAACCGATCAGAGCTTTCAATGCGCAGTTGGGTAAACATCCGTTTTTCATCGCAAGATTGAAGTGAAATACAAGTACGTGGTTGCGGATTAATTAATGTGAAAACAAGCAGCGGGCTTACTATCTGATACTTTTGTAAGTAAACAAAATTCCCAAGAATATGTCCACCCCCCACTGAATGGCAAAACATAGCATACAAAACTAGAGTCAATAAACGCAATGCTTTCGCCTCTCTTTTTTTAGCTTTTGACAAATAACTGTGAGCGACGACACGATACAGGCTGTAAATAAGCGTTACCCTTTTTCTTAATACCACATAAAAATAAGATTTAACTAATTATTTTAAATGAAGCCTTAAAAACTCACATAAATAACAACTAGTAGAAATACAGAATGACAGTTACAGAATAAAAATTAAAGCAAAAGTACCAGATTCGTAACAGATTTAAAAAAATTATTTTTCAATAAAAACTAAATAAACTAATTTTGCAGTGTTCGATCACGCTCAAAAAATTTATTTATTTATCTTCATATTTCGAAAAAAAAAATTTTTATCTACTCGGAATCGATAAATACACGCGGAGTACTTGATACTTTAGTGATATGAGTCGATAAAGATACGCGAATACTTTTACGATACTTCAATAATATGAAGTCATAATTTTAAATGCTTCAATGAAATCTTTTTGTTTTGAATTGTTAACTCATTAATAAAGTATTATAAAAAAATAATCTAAAAAGAAGTTACGAAAAGAAAACAGATAAAAAGAAATTTTAAAAAATAGTTTGGATTTAAAACGTTGTTTCTTTGAATTTAATTTTTTGAATTCTTTTTTCTATTATTAAATTTACTTCTGAGTATGCTGTTTTTAAAACTAATCCTTTTTTATGACTCATTGGTTTTGGTAATCTTTTCTTTTCCTTTATTGTTTTGGAAAGCTTTCAGTTCGTAATTCATAATTTGTTTTGTTATTTTATAAAAATTTAAACTGCCTAATTTTTGATGTAAATTTTTATATAAAAATCTATATTACGACTTGATTTAAAACTTTTAAAAATCGATATTAAAAATGAAATAAAGTAATTAATTTATATAATTTATGCTTTATAGTTACATATTTTTATAACTTATATAATTTATGCTTTATCGTTATCCTCATATTTCGAAAAAAAAATTATTAATTAATTAATTTATCCTCATATTAGTTTTAAAATAGCATACTCAGAATTAAATTTAATAATAGAATATCTTACACACACACACACACACACACACACACACACACACACACACACACACACACACACACACACACACACACACACACACACACACATATATATACACACACAATCATAAAACCTTTTTCAACCGGTAAAAAAAAATATTTTAAAAAGCGGATAAAGAATAGTTTTTAATAACTGATAAAAACATCAAAGCTTTCAAATACTTTAGAATCGATTATTAGTACAAAATTTAGTTTTAAATTTTCTACCGCTTAAAAACGCCTAAAAAACAAAGACGAGTTTGTAAAACTAACGTTAGCTCATGCATGATTTAATGCAGAAACTCTTTTTTTCTTCAGAAACAACAAGATATTTAAAATATATTTTTTTAATCTCTTGTTGTTGTTTTATGAATTTATAGTGATATTGTGAACAAAAAATTTAATGATGCATATGCAACGCTAGATACCCAAAAGTTTTAGACAAGTAAAACATTTTAACATTTTCAAATGAGTGCTATAGTATTGCAATAGAATTTCTAAATACCAACAAAACTATAAAAAAAAAAATAATAAATAATAATAATATCGTATCCTACAGGTTTTCTGTTTAATAGTTTAAAAAAAATTTAAATAACTGGTAAAGTAAGATTTACAATTATAAATAGGGTATGTATTACATATATATGTATATATATATATATATATATATATATATATATATATATATATATATATATATATATATATATATATATATATATATATATTTATATATATATAAATAGGGTATGTATTACATATATATATATATATATATATATATATATATATATATATATATATATATATATATATATATATATATATATATATATATATATATATATATATGTATATATATATATATATATATATATATATATATATATATATATATATATATATATATATATATATATATATATATATATATATATATATATATATATATATTGTTTATGTTAAAAGATTTTAGGTGGTTCGCATACCGAGATTTGAATGGAGTTTCACATAAGCCAAAGTATACTTTTTCTTTGTAGTCAGTTTTATTTGACGACACAGTGGCTTGATAAATGATGTTTTTTGTCAAGCACTGATTGCTCATGGGACAGATGGATTTGTTGATACAATTGCATGTTTTTCCCTCATCTTTGTCTTGGCTGTATAATATCCTGCGGTTGTGCGAAATAATGGTGGACTTGATATTTGGCATACATGAGTAGCTTATTTTAATGGTATCTCGATTAAATATCTTACGAAGTTTGTGACCAACCGGAAAATGTAGGTCTACCAAGTTCAAAAAATAACTGCCTATTTTTGTTGCAACATTGGCACTGAAAGTTGGGTTGTACCAGATTATGTTTCGCTTGTGATTTTTGAATTGGATCGGCTTTTTATTTGAATGGTAAGCGATTTTGCAGATAAAACCTGATTTAGATAATGCATCTTGATAAAGAGGAATGGATTGTTTAAAAATATTTTGGTTAGAAGAATTGCTTGACAATCTTAGTTCGATAGTTTGAGGAAGGCTTTTTAGTATACTAAGAGGATGGTTAGTGTCAGCATTTATATAACTGATCGAATTACCAGGTTTGCAGTAAGGCTGGAAAGAACTGTCCTTCAGATTTAACGTTAAGTCCAGATAATTAACAACTATAAAATTACAGCTGATGGATATATGAAGATCATTATTTTTAAAAACCTTCACAAAGTGCTTTTTAATTTTTTCCATCTGTTGACCGCTCCGGCTCTTTAACACTGCTAGACCATCATCTCTATACAACCCGAATTCATCTTTATTGTAATATTGCAATAATTGAAACAAGATAAATATTCCAACTAACTTACAAACTTCTGCGCCATCATATATATATATATATATATATATATATATATATATATATATATATATATATATATATATATATATATATATATATATATATATATATATATATATATATATATATATATATATATATATATATATATATATATATATATATATATATATATATATATTTATATATATATATATATATATATAAATATATATATATATATATATATATATATATATATATATATATATATATATATATATATATATATATATATATATATATATATATATATATATATATATATACAAAGAATACACAAAACAAAGAAGATGTGGATGATCATCCATATTTTTTTTTGCGTTTCTGTCTGTTTATATAACTTTTTTTTTAGTTTAATGAAAAAGTTTCCTTGTATTTATTTTATCTTTTAATTGTATGAATAGCGAAATATATGTTGGAAAAAAAAAAGGAAAAAATCTAACAGACCTAACGTAGGAATCTGACATACTTAATTGGGAGAGCAGTCAGCACAAGGAATCTAACCCACTAAAATGCTGTTTCTTTTAATTATTTTTTTGAGCTATTTAGGTGCTCCAAGAAGACTTTGCGGTTTTATTACAGAGCACCACAAAATAGCATTTAACCGGGAAATTGACGGCTCTTTCTTTACTTATGGTACATATATAGACAGTGCCGGCTTCGAACCACAGACCTTCAATTCTGAAGCCAGAACTCTAACCACTAAACTATGGCTGCGCTATTGCTAAAACTGTTTGTTATCTTGGTGTATGAAATATAACTTTATGATTTGATTTGATTGATTTAGTCCTAAATTTTTATATATTTCTAAACCAACAATTTAAATATATATGGAGTGTTTTGAGTCTAACATCGGTTTGAGGTATGAACCAAATTATTTGAATAAAAAATTATTACGTTGAATTACCAAGAAAACAATTAATTTAAAAATGTAGAACTTTTCAGTTTTGATTTCTTAATAATAGAGGTCTTATCAAATATTTAAGAACAATGTGGTACAATAAAATTCTCTTAATAACTATTTTTCGCACTAAATAAAAATGGATAAAAAAAAAGAGAAAGGTTTAATGTAAACGTTTTTTTCTTCTTAAAGTTGGTTGAGAACATTAGCTGGCGAGTCTTTACATTGCAAATATTTAGATTTTCATGATAGTACATAAGAAAAACGTGGGCGTGCTTTTCCTAATAAAGTTACCATTAGAGGAGATTGATACGGAAGTATTTAACAAGTATTAGAGAGTATATCTGGATTTCAAATATCAAACTGTAGCATACAGTGACTAGACTTTAATTTGTTCTAAAAAGAATACGCGCCAGTATTTTTATTTGGAAAAAAATAACATCAATTTAAAAAGTTTAATTTAGTGGGTTATCTAATGGATGGTTTTACTAAGTGCCACTTGAAACTTAAAAAATATATACTTCTGAAAGTTTTTAAACTTTTTATTTTTAGGCTGAGTTGCTCCCTCAACTTGCAATTCCCCACTATTATACGAGGCATTTATTTCATTCATTTTCACGCAAACCGTCATATGTGATAATGATTTTTATAAATTAGGCCTTATACTTTTGCAATGAACTTCATTTTATTTCAGAAACTAGGTAACTTAAAAAGTTTAGTGGCGAATTTCATGAGAAAAGCTATCATTTCGTTTTATATTTGTTTTATTTATTTGCACAATTTTTGGCTTCATCATAATGCTTTTCAAACATTTTTTTGAAGCTAATGAATACAAGGCGAGAGTGTTAAGCGTACAAGGTGAGTAATAAATGGTAGACTATTACGCTTCTTGTAAACTTAATAACCCCCAAAATGAAGTTATTATGTTTATAAGGTGAAATTGTTGAGTATACAAACCGAGTGGCACAAGTCGTGTTCAAAACACGTCTAAAAACTTACTAACTTTTTAAAGACGTTTTGTGCTCATTGGAAAGTGAGAATATTAACTATGCAAGGTGAGATTATCAATTATTCAAAGTTTTATTATTATATAAATGCCAATTATTAAGTATCCCAGGTGGTAATTAATAAAATTAATAGTTAACATTAAACTATTAACGATATAAGCGGCTGTGGCGAAAGATCCAGGGTTCGAGGCGAGCTCTGGGCAAATTTCGCGCCATCGGTAAGGAAGGAACCGTGAGACTTCTTAGATAAATGCCTTTCCGCAGTGCTCTGTGACAAGACCGTTAGGTTATATATATAAAACTATAAATAATAATAAAATGTTATAATAAAGAAATAATAATAAAAAATTTTTTGAATAGTTTTGTTTGACTATCTTTACGTATAAAATTGACAATTTTTTCTTTTTCTAAAATTTATTTTTTGCTACAATATTTACAACATAAAAGATATTGACAAACTTTTTAAGATTATAATAAACAAATACTCGTATAAAATTGGCACAAATAATTCAATATTTAAAGAACTTGTTAAGAATTAAAGTTTTGAGTATATTAAATATTGAGTATTTTTGTTTACTTATGCAAACATGTTTACATATAAGCATGTAAAGTGTCTGAACTCTATTATAGACGACATTTTTAAAAAATAAAATTGTAGCAAAATAAGCTTTTCGTTTTTTTTAAAATTAAAAACAACTAAATATCAAAACGATAAAAATTCGTCTTTATCAAAAACGTCTCACAAAACGAAACTTGTTTAGTCTTAAGACTGTTGGCTATAATACCAAAAACTATAAATACATTTTCTTCATTTTAAAAGAAAACAACTAATAACTTAAAGACTTTATATAAAATTGGGCGATGCAAAAAAAAATATATATAACTTTTTTTTTTGCTTCTACCTAGTCTTCGCTTCTGCTATTTGGCGTTCGCCGACACCTAAAATCCGTATTCGCTCACCAATATTTTTCGAGACTAAAATATAAATGCAAAAAGAGAAAAAATAATAATAAAAAAAAGCCACATTTAAAATAACATAAAGATTTTTCTCTAACTATTCTTGGCAAAAGAGATAAAAACTCAAATTCTAAAAAAAAAAAAAAAAGATTTTTTCTTTCTATCAAACGAAAAAACTTACTAACAAAGCAAAATTTTTGTATAAGATTTTCTGCAACATAAAAACCATAAGAGCGGAGGTCCTCCACTCAGAATACAATAGAATACTAAAAGTATCTTTAAAAAAAAAAAACGCTACATTTTATTCTTTTCTACACCGCTAAGTGAACTGCTATTAGAACGTTAACTGATATTTAGAAATGTTTTAGTATTATTTTAGTATTATTAGTAGTTTTATGTTTTAAGGACAAGTATTAGCGTTAAATGTAGAAATCGGATGATTTCACAATTAACCATTATTTAAAAATTTTTTTTGATTATCTTCAATACTTTTTTACTTCATCGAAATCATTTTGAAAAAACAATTTTTTATTCAATTTTATTTTTTGGATTTTTTATTCGTTATTTTGTTAAGAGTTTAAAGTTGTTTAAAATATTTTAAACAACTTTAAACTCTTAAATATATAATTGCATAAATAGTAAACATAGTTTATAAAAAATTGCATAAATAGTAAACATAGTTTCAGGAAAGGTTTATTAGAAGTATTATTTATTGTATTATTTAGTAATGACATCAATTAAATTCAATGATTTGCTTTATATATATATATATATATATATATATATATATATATATATATATATATAATATATATATATATATATATATATATATATATATATATATATATATATATAACTAAAAAATAAACATCAAATATTATTTATGTAATTGCTAACATATAGACACAAAAATCCAATCAAGTATTGTAACGAAGGCGACACATGTTAGACATCTGAAGTCCAACATATTTTGCCTTCTTTTCAATACTTTATGCGGTATATTTAACAAGATAGAGGGGCCTCCTAGTACTTTCAAAAGTTGCACTCTATCTTCTTAAATCTCCCATTTCATTTTTACCTCAGAATCAGCTTCCAACTAATAAGTAACTTCTACGACATTATCAATATTTGATTAGCAGTAGATCAAAACAATTTAAAAGTATTTATGATAACTTTTGTTGTCTTATGGGATCAAATTTTCATATGAAATGCTAAGGAAAAATAATGTGTTATCAGGAAAATGAAGAATTGTATTTGCTTAGAAAAATAGTGAATACCAGGGAGTCCTGTGCTTTTAAAAACTATATTATTAGAGTGGATAAAATATTATCGAAATATGCAAAAATTCACAAAAAATGGGTATTAATGACCAAGAGAAAATTTCTAGTTTGGAAGAAGGACTCCAAAGAAGTTTACTAGTAACTGTAGCAAACAAAATGAAAGATCTTTAAGTAATAATAAAAGTAATACTAAAAGGTGAACACAAAAGCTGAATAAATTACAGAACTAAACTAATAAGTTAAACTTTGTTAATAAAACTTTGTAAATAAAAAATATAAATTTTTTTTTTTTTTTAATTTTACAATAAAAACTATACAATTTCTAGGGAACAATAGTTTGAGACCTAAAATAAAAACTTTGCAATCATATTGTATTAGGTCCCAAAAATCCTAGCTATACCACTGTCTTGAAGACACACTAGTTTTCTTGGTATTCAATCTACATGTTACTAAATATTTAAATATTTAAAAAAAATCAGTAACAAGCAAAAAGTAAAATAACTAACAACTGGTAAGAAGCTTTTTGTCAGCAGATGATCGAGACTGTTGAATTAATCCATCAAATAAAATTTTTGAAATTCTATAACATCGTCCAGCTTGTATATAATTTAATGTCAACTCAGAATAAGCAGCATACTGACACTATTAAAAAACCAAAGCGTAAATGTTAGAAAATATAGGATTAAATACTTTATATTATTGTTAAATATAATATAATTTCCCATACCAATCAACTCTCCTCTTCAAACTGAACTTTAACTTCCCCATCCACCTATCTCTTATTTTTAGAAACAAGAATAGTTCTCTATATTTCACATACATCTTACTTTTGCTCTTGATGTTTTCATAGCTCTAATTTACTAATCCAGTCACAGCCCCCCCCCCCCCTACACACACAAAAAAACAACAACAACAACTACTAACAGATTTTTATCCTCAATAACTATGAGTTTGTCAAAGCTATTAAAACCCTACAAAATTAATTTAACTGACCAACGATAAAAGATTTGTTTCAATAACAACGATTAAATATTTGAACAATAACTCACCTGTGGTAAATATGATAACCCACATGCAAGACCTATGATAACCCACATAAAAGGTGACGCAATAGTATACATAGTATGAGAATTACATCAAAAGCTTATCTACCCTTTTTCATACTAAGATGGGATTGTTATGTTTTCCTTCTCATTAGTTGCTTTTATAAAAATGTCTTTTTCTAACAAAAAAAACTTTTTTTACATGAACCTCCTCTACCAATATACATTTTTCTGTACCTCTCAATTATAAAGTTAGTGTTTGCTACCACATCACTACCACATACCACAGTTCTTCCATAATGTCATATGTAAACAAGAAAATCATTACGGAAACCCATCCCATTATCATACCTGTAATAATTAAAAGACTAAATCTCAAAATTTTTTGATTAAAACTGCTTACCACTCCAACTCCATAAATATAAAGAAGTTTAGCAGTATCCACCTTTAAAAAAAAATTGATTGAGAATACAACAAGAAAAAACAAAAATTTAACTTAATAGACCAATTCAATAAAAAAAGTTTACAAAAAACCTAACCTTATGAGTTTTTATATTTTCAATTGAAGGATAAATTATAAAAGTTGCAACTCTTTGAATGCAATCATCGCATAATGAAGATAACTTTGTTATTACTAAAAAAAAAAAAAAAAATAATTTAAAAAAAATATTTATATAAAGCTAAATCATCATTTAATTTGCTTTTAACTTTTCATGCGTGGATTTTTAGTTTGGCCTACAATTCAATTTGTATGACAATGCAATTTGTGGAATAAATTAAAAAAATATAAAATAAAAACAAATAAAACTGTATTATGTAGAAAATTGTATGACAATTCAATTTGTATGACAATTCAATTTGTATGACAATGCATTTTGTGGAATAAATTTAACAAATATAAAATAAAAACAAATAAAAAAATTAACAAATACAAAAGTAAATCTTCAAACTTGAATAATTTTATTGAACTCGAAACAGAAAAATATTTTACCTGCTTTAAACATAGAAGTAACTTTCAAAGTTCCTTTGGCCTGATGAGACTGTGCAAATCTCAGTGCATAGGTTGCCACCCGCAACGCTTCAAGTACCAAAAGCATTTTACTATGCTTGCAGCCATCAACGGTTGGTTTTATGTCAATGCTTATTTTACTATTGTCATATAAAATATCTGAAACATAGTTTGAAATATTTATGTCTGTTACAACAATTAACAAATTTTCAGCAAAAGAATACAAAAACTCAATCTCCTCCATTGCCAGTAAATGTTCTCGTGATAAAAAAGCATCATTTTGATACCTTGTAGTAAGATTACTTGGAGATTCACTTTTAAACTGTGACATTTGCTTTACATTGTTTTCATTGTCTGTTTTAAAACTGTTGCTGAGGCTAGATCTTTTGTTCTGTTCTTGTCGAATTAAGCTAAGTTTATCATTCCAACTTGATGGTGAAGCCGCTAAAAATACACCTGGGGGTGGAGTATTTTCTCCTAAAGATAGTTTTTGTGATTCAGGAGAATCAGAAAGTTTAAATACAGGCGATGGAAGATTTGCAAGAATATTATGTTGTCGGTTCTCAAAATTTAGCTGTTTCAACAAAGCTGCTAAATTTTGTTTCATTTCTTCATGTGTTTTTTGAACAGGCATTAATTTTACAGCTTGAGATATTAATGCGGGTGAAGATTTACTTTTATGAATTACAGCATTATTAGAGGCAGGCAAGTCAGGTAATAACTTTTTTTTAGAGTCTTCTTGAGGACTATAGTTTTTTGTAACTTCTTTTTTTGGCCTCTCATTATAGGAGATAGTTGATCTACGAGCTCTGTCAACTTTTTGAATTATTGATTGGTTCTGATCAAGATTTTCCTTATTTTGATTTTCTCCAAAATCTGCTACAGGATATAATGAAGGAGGAGTTGAAACTTTCCACGAGGTTTTCCGGCATAGTACAGGAGCAGATTTATCTTTAGCCAATGGAGAAGGAGTACGAGAAATATTTGTTGGAGATGGTGAATGTGATTTTGTCTTTCTTACAAATGTTTTAACATTATGTAATGTAGAATCAGGCGATTCAAGTAAAACTTTATTTGGTTGATCATTGAGTACTGAGTCATATGAATTGTTATCTGGAGAACCAATAATAAAATGTGCTTTAGACCCAGACTTTCCTGAAGAGCTTTAATCATAATAGACATAAAAATATATTTTACATGCATTCCTTTGTTATAAATCACAGAATAAAAATTAAATATAAATTTCAAAAAAAAAGTTATTAAAAAAACTACTAATAAGAAATAAACCTTTGTGGCAATAAAACTTGCTTTGAAGAAAACCCATGTTGAGTTACTACAACAAAGTCATCTGGAACTGAAGAACTGTAGGGCTTGGTATTGCATACAACCAATTCTGCAACTAAATTTAAAATCAATAACGCAGAATTAAATTATGTTTAGAACAAGTACTTAGGGCATCAGGAAAGTTCGTGCAACCCCCAAAAAAATATTAAAAAAGAAATGTAATTTTTATTTAATTATATGTTCAAAATATTCGCCATTATTATTTATGCATAGTTGCATCCTTTCCAACCACATCTCAAATGTTTTTCTACAATCAATAGGTATGCCTAAATCTTTGTAATTTTTTTTTTTTTGATTTTCAACATCTGTATGATCTTCAAGATGAGTTTTGATGTGGTCAAATAGCCAAAAATCTGATGGAGCTAAGTCTGGCGAGTAAGGTGGGTGGCAAACTATATTGAATTCAGCTTGATGTAGGAAAGTTTTCACTGCTTTTGTGACATGAGGTCTAGCATTGCCATGAAGAAATTTCATGTTATTTCTTCTTTAATTGGCTTCAAGCAATTTTCAATGTAATAATTAGTTGTTATAATCTTACCTTTTTCCAAATATTCAATATGAACAACACCTGTTGTCTTAACAAAGATAGAATACATGTTTTTTGTTTAAAAATGGGCCTGTTGTACTACTGTTCTAGGAGATTCACCTTTGGCTACCCAGCTGGCAATAGATGACTTGTGTCCAACCTGTCTCAAGGTAAACCACGATTCATCACAAGTAATAACATCACACAATAGCCCTTTACCTTCTTCGAATTTTGCTAAATTTTCATGACAAGCTTCAACCCACTCCTTTCGATTTTTTTCTGTTAATTGGTGGGGTATCCAATGCGATGATACTTTTCTCAGTCCTAGAGAGTCATGTATGATTTCTCCTAACATATATCAGTTTATAGATGATTGCATAATATTGTCAAAAGTTGAATGAGGATCATCTTCAATTATTTGCCAAACTTACTCAATATTTGCAGATGTATGCACAGTAATTAGGCGTCCAGAGCATGGGTCATCTTCTAAACTCTCTCTTCCACCATCGAATAAAGCGGCCCATTTGGCAACGTTCTACATTTTGGTGCTTGGTCCCCATAAACTTTTTCAAGTTCGTTGGATATCTCAGTTGATGGAATTCCAAGCAGAGCTTGAGTTTTTATATATGCTCTATTTTCAATTTATATATGCTCTATTATTCATTTTATAAAGTTTTTTTTTAAAGTACTTTTACTAAAATTGAAATAATTTTTTTATTATATAAGCAATATATAATAAAAATGTAACTAAAATGTAGAGAAATGTTCTTTAAAATGATATATAATAATGACATAAAATTTGTTTAAATACACAAGTTTTTTAATAAGTTTCACGAACTTTCCAGATGCCCTAAGTAGTAATAAAAAACTTATGACAATGATGAAAAAGTTTGAAAGTTACATTAAAATGTATCTTAGTTAATAGTAAAATCATTTGAAACCAGAACAACTTTTCATTTATTTTTTTAGGCTTTAAAAAGTCAGAACAAACTTAATGCAAATTTTTATTTTAACCATTTTATTTAAAAGTATAGATAAAAATGTCAAAAAAGTATAACAAGAAAAAACAAATAACATAAATTTTAGTAATTCAATGTTTTTTCAATATGATGAAAAGGTTTTTTTAATATGACAAAGAAAAACAAGTCAATAACCAGTTTCAAATTTAAATTCAATAAACTTGATATGAAATTTCCAAGACATAAGATAACATGAGACCTTAAGATAACATAAGACATAAGATAACATGAGACCTTAAGATAACATAAGACATAAGATAATATGAGACCTTAAGATAACATAAGTCATAAGATAACATGAAACTTTAAGATAACATAAGACATAAGTTAACATGAGACATTAAGATAACATAAGACATAAGATAACATGAGACCTTAAGAGTAAGACATTTTAAGACAAGTTTCAACAGAAAAAATATTTTAATATTTTACTGGTTAAGCTATATTTTACTATCTTATAATTGTCTCTAATTTTAAAACTGTTGTTTTTTTTTTTACTTATGAAAAAAAACAACTATAATCTAACAATTATGAGATTAAATATGCAAATAAAAATAAATATGCAAATAAAATGATAAAATATGCATATAAAAGAAATATTACATAATATTGTGAAGACAGTTATAAAAACTGGTAAAATTATGCAAAAGGACATTCATTTTAATTATATTTAAACTTATCATTGAAGAAACTTTAAAACAGCTTAATTTAAAAATGAAGAGGCATGGGGATGACAACTAAGAATTTAAATCAGGGTGGCAGCTGTAGATCATAAATAATAAATCAGCTAGCTGCTAAAAATTTATCAGCAAATAGTTAATGAATGATATAAGCACATCTCAAAGATTTGCATTCAAAAAAAAAGGATTTTGAAAGAAAAAAAAAAGATGAAAATAAAAAAGGTAGCAATTTTACAAGAAATTTTATAATGGTACCCCCTGTTTAGTAAAATTTTGGAATAATTTGTTTAATATTTACCAGGATCAGAACTCAGTTTAATATCATCTGGAGGAGTCACAGCAGCTTGCTGTAGGTAATCGGTGTAACGAGGAGATGACAGTGATTCAATTGGTGACCGAACACCTCTGGAACACTCAGAAAAACCTCTTCTTCTTGAAGGAACAGCAACAGGTGTAGCTATAAATGCACTCATAAACTTGTTTAACAAAAAACTTTTTTCTTAAAACCAAAAATTTTATAAGACATAATACTGCAATACACAAAACTAAAAAAAAAATATGTGTAAAAATTGGTATATGCAAATTTTAAATAAGTCCTTGCAAGAAAAAAGTCCTTCTAAGAATCAGCAAATATATTTTCACAATCATAATCAGCACATTTTTTTTTGTTGTAAATTATTAAATGTTGAATAAATTAAAAAAATACTGGTAAACTTACAGGAAAATGATAATGACTCTCCAATCAGAAAAGGATGGTTAAAAAACATATCTAAAGAATGAATAAATAATTTAAATATATATATAGAAAAAAACATTTACAATTTCTTGCTTTTAATTAATTTAATACAAAGTGTTGCTAAAGCTTTTATCACAAATGTTATTTTTTTAATTCCATTTAAAAATCATAATCAGTTAATTAATGCCAATGAATATTCAGTGAATAATAGTGTTTATGTAGAAAGTGACCAGCGCAATGTTTTAATGGTCAGTGTAAATATGAAGAATTTTTTATCAGGCAACCAATAAAGTTCATACAGTTTTTATTGTCTACTTTGAATTATATTCCTTGCTCTTAGACCATCAATGATCAACAATGACAAAACCCAGCTGGAAATTAATAAGGATTCAAGTCAAACATGCCAAGTTCTTGCTTTATCATTCAATGAGAGTAATGAAACGCATACATTTGTATTGGAAAACAACAAAAGTCTTCTATCAGGACAATGCCAGACCACAAACAACAAGGATCATGCAGGAAATTCTGGCTCAACTACAATGGTAAGTTCTACCTCGCCTAATTTGGTAAGACCAAAATTAGGTGGCAATCACAAGTGGCTGCCACCTAATTTTGACCTAGGACAAACATGTGCAGAATTGGTGATTTCAAAATAGAGAGGTTATGGAAAATGAGGTGATATGGATATTTTTTAACAACCATTGTAACTTTGACTAATAAAAGATTTGTCATCTAAATTTGAATGATTTGAAGATGATCAAATTAGATGAAAATAGAATTAAAAAATAAAGTGAAATTATTAGAAAAAGAAAAAAGAATTTATTGAGCCGTTTCATAATTAGATTTTCATGAAACATATTTATTAAATAATTTAGTGCAACTATTTCCTTTCAAGGTTAAATTTAACCTTGCAATAAGTTTAAATTTATTTTTATGATTCTTAATTATTTTTATATATTCTCATATATACAACTCCTATAAAGTAAAATATAGTTACAGAATGTGTCAATCTTTATGCAGATCTGACTTTCTTATATTAAATTTAATCAATTATTAAATAATATTTGATTAAATTTAATATAAGAAAGTATATAATTAATATTAATATTGGTCAAGTATTAGCAATGGGTGTTTTCAAGTGGTGAATAAAACTACATTTTCAACACATCTACTTTTTCAAATTGCAAATTTATTTTAAATACAACTAACTTTATTCTCAATTCCAGTCATTTGTATGTCTTTTACTATTATTAAAAAAAAGCTTACGTTATTTAAAATAAAATCCAAACAACAACAAATAAACCACTAACCAAATGAAATTCTTTCTTTAGGATTACGTTTTAACAAAGCATATAGCAGGTCTTTCATAGCTTGAGAGCAGTCGGCAGGAATTCTGTAATTTAAACAGAGTTACATAGCATGATAAATTCAGTTTTAATGAAAAAACCATAGTAATAAAATACTATTAAAAATTTTCAATACTTACGTAGGTTTTAAGTTTTTGTTACTCTCATACAATCTTCGTAGATGTTGAGGATTGCTAGCCTAAGAATTATTTAACAAATTCTTAACTATTTATATAGCTATGAAAAGTATTAAATGGATATGATTATGTGGTATTAGCAGAGTTCTTGCTTGTAAGCGATAAGTTCCAAGTTTGATACCTACCATATCTTTTGTAGAACCGTGGTTAACTTGTTTTTCAGGGCAGAGAGTTGGTTTTTCGAGGTTTATGTTTCAAAGTTAAAGAGTTGAGAGTGGGTTATAACCAAAAAATTTTTGAAAACAAAAGCAGCCTCTTTGACTGTAACGGTTCCCTTGGCTTTGGAGAAGGTTAATAAAAAATTTATTGTTTTAGTTGAGTTAATTAATAAATGTGTGTGGTGCAAAAAATAGGGTTGAGCTTTTACCATTTTACCGGTAATTTTTTTTTTACCAATTTACCGGTAAATTTTGACAGTAAATGGTAAAAGTTAAGAAAAAACCGTTTTAAGCTTTTTCTGCCATTTTAATTAAATATTCATATTAAAATAAACAAATTTTGAAATTTTTAATTAATTTTTCTATTACAAATGGCGTCTGATGCCACTTGATGCATCTTATGAATTAAAAGAAAGTGTAAGTGTTTATTTTTTTTATTCTTTTTTTATTCAATTTTATTCAATCATTTTTAATCAATATTATTATTTATTTAGTCAAGTAGTACTTTAGTCAGTCAACTGACACACATAAAATAATTACAGTTTTCATAAAAAAATATCTGGAGTCTGGAAACATTATGAAAAAGATCATTCTGAAAGTGTTTGCAAGATATGTGGGAACAAAACTCAGTTCACAGGATCTACAACAGGAATGTGGTACCATCTTGGTCAAAAACATGGGATAAAAAAGCCCCAGCACAAGAAAAAAACAAGAAAACCTGCAGCCAAAACAGCCCCCAAAATCTCAACATTTTTTCAGATCTTCCGGATTGTTCCCTGCAGAAAAAGCAGCAGAAGTTGTTTCAGAGAGAGAGAGAGTGAAAAAATTTGGACTGAACTTGGCTGATTGCATTGTTTGTTCTGTCACTGATGGGGCTTCAACGATGGTCAAGTTTGAGAAAATTGTTCCTACCAATCATCAAACTTGCTACACTCACGGGGTTCATCTAGCCATTCAGGAAGTTTTGTACGAAAAAAATCAAAGCAACAATTTGGACGAGAAAAAAGTAGAGAGCGACAATGACAAGGAGGAAGATTCAGATTTGGACGACAAAGAAAATTCCAGATTCATTGATGACAAAACCAACGAAATCATTTCTCTCCCAAAGGTCAAAGTTTATTTCCAGTCTGTCATCATCAAAGTTAGAAAGATTGTCAAGTTGCTCAGGAAGTCTCCAGTCAAATATGATGTGCTCTAAGAAGAAGTTAAAAAATACCACAGCCGAGAAGTTACTCTCATTTTGCACTGTCGAACAAGATGGAACAGCCTCTTAGCAATGATTCAACAGTTTCTCAAAATCAATGAACAAATTGGAGTTGTTCTTGCAGACATTTCTTCAAGTCTCATTTGCAAAGAGCAAGAATTAGACATCTTGACCGACATTATTGATGCCCTTGAACCAGTAAAATTGGCAGCTGAAGCTTTTTGCAGGAAAAATGCCACCTTGTTAACAGCAGAGGGAATCTTCAAGTTTCTAATCAATAAATTGAATCAAAAAAAATCTAGTCTTTGCATCAGAATGAAAGATGCTGTCTTAAAGCAATTACAGAGAGGAGACAAAGCAACTTGTACAAATATTTGTCAAACCCAGACTGCCTTCACAAAATTGAAGAGCATGAAATTTTCAACATGCCTTTTTAGACTGTTCTTTAGAGAACTGCAAAGTCATTGCTTTCAAGGCTTTTCCCCACAAAAGATATTGAAATTCTGGATCAAATAGAAAGAGGCAAAGGACAAAAAGAAGCTGAAGAACAACTTTCTCTCCAGGAAGATTTGTAAGAGGCTATCGAATATTCAGCCAAAAAGCAGAGAAAACTCCAATGATGAATTTAAGGCCATATCAAAAGAAATGATGGTCTTTGAAGCCACCAGTAAAAGAACTGCAAATCTTGAGCTGTCATTCAATGCTCTGGAAACTCCCACAAGTATTGAATCGAGAGAGAGTTTTCTGCTGCTGGACTATTTGTCATAAAAATTCGATCCAGAATGAGTGATGACTTAAAAAGCCCATTTTTTGTTGAAAAATAAATCCTAAAAATTGCAGTTTTTGTGTTTTATTCATAGCTATGTCTTAATTATGTTCAGGAGTCAAAAATTTCATAAGGATTTCTATTTTTTAAGTTTACAATTTTTTACCATTTACTGGTAAAATCCTTTATTTTTACCAATTTACCGGTAAATTTAAAACCCGGTAAAAGCTCAAACCTAGTAAAGAAGTATAAATGTTAAGGATTTTTTATTGGAAAAAATAAAAACATATTTTTTAATAAGTATAACGTATACTATTTTTACTTTTACAATATTATCATTAACTTATTTGTAGCTTATACTATAATCTACAAATATAAAAATTAGGTAACAAAATTTAATGTATAACATTAAATATAAAAATTAGGTAACAAAATTTAATGTATAACATTAAATATAAAAATTAGGTAACAAAATTTAATGTATAACATTAAATGTATAAGATCTAATAACATAATATGTTAGTAACATGTCACATAATTTTCTTTCTTATGTTTTAAAATGTTTTTTTTTAAAATTATATTTAAAGGGTCTTATTTTATTTTTGGTTAAACTTAACATCTTTAAAATTCAGTATTAACTTTTAATCTTGTAGAAGCATAAAACAATGTCTTCAAAAAAAAGTCTTCTAAAAGTAGTACAGGTGGCAACATTTATGAACCTAATAAAAACAGACCAGAAAATAAAATTAGTTTTCATATATTATAACTTGACAATTTAATTTTATTTATGTTTTTGATACTTTTTATCATATATATGTACATATATATTAGGGATGTTTAGGGCATCCCTAATCACTATATATTATTGCTGAACTTAATAGTATCAATGCTCGTTCATGTGTGCTTGCACGAAACTTGCGGCAGCCATTAAATCCGAGATAATAGCGAGAAAGAGTGGCTTGGCACTTTTTTTTAAGAAAACTTGAACAAAAATCTATGCAAATATCCAAATCATGTAAATTTTAAGTTATAGAAAAAGTAAAGTTTCTTTTAGGTTTACAATTGTACTTTTCAAGTTTTCTACAAATAAGTTTGCTTAAAGAGAAGGGGTATGTAATATGTACATATATAATACAATAAACTATAAAGTTAACTATAAAATTGTTTTGTTTTGTACTTTAAATAACAAAAATTTAAAAAAAAAAGCATACTTTAGATTTGAACTTGCCACGTGGCAACCTTTACTTTTTTAAAAGGACATAATTAAAAATATTAATTTTACATTTAAAATAAAATATTTTATTAAATTTATTTTACTTAAAAATAATAAAAAGTTCAAGTTACCTAATATCAAGGTAATAAAGAAATTTACAGCTGTTTTATGATGCCCCTGTTAAACATTCTAAACCGAGTGCGAAATAATTACAGAATTTAGAATACTATCAAAATAGTATTATACTCCATATAATATTAGAATAGTCAACTCGAACATTATTAACTAATAAACCATGAGGCATTTTTGATGTGCACGCTGTTAGTTTTTTTTTATTTGTTTTTATTTGTTAGATATTCAATCATGTTTTATATTTGTCGTTCTCAATAATTTTATTTTTATATTTTCTAATTATTTAGATTCATACATATTCTCTTTATTAGAACAAAGACTTACAGATAATAGTCTAGAATATTTAAATAGATAAATATCTACAACATCAAGTTAAGTTTCATTGTGAAATTTAAGTGTAATGTTATTATTAACATTTTTAACATTAAAATTAAAAGTTTTGTAATTTTTATTTACTAACATTGTTTTTTTTATTTTACATTATTACCTAAAATATCTATGACTTTCTTTTCAGATTTTAAAAATTTAATATTTTCTAATATGATTGGTTTATTCTATTTTATGAGATATTTTACTATTGGTTTGTTGCTTTAAATTGGTAATCAATTTGATTACCTGTATTTTTTTGATATTTATTTCAGCCAATAAAGTTGTAGGAATGCCAGCAACAGTAGCTGTTATACCACCCATATCTGTAACTGGTAAATAAATGATTTATAGGTTTTATTGTTAATTATAAAACTAAAATAACATTCAGTTATTTCAATTCTTACTTTCTTTGTTTTTAGGCTTATATCATGAAGCCTTTGCAGGCTATTGAGATATTAATAAGGGCCCACATCCTATATTATGCACACAAGGTGTGGGCGCAGAATAGAAAAAAAGATTTGTCTTCAATTCATTAAAGAAGGAAGGTATTACCCTTACCGAAAATGAAGTGGGAGTTACTATAGTGGGCAGGGGAAAATACTTAACTATAGCTACAATTACAGGCTTTCATAGGAAGGCGTGCAATTTCACGTTTTTATATGACCACGCAAATTACATTTTGCTATGACGGTTTGACCGCGGTTAATTCAAAAAACGTTTTAAAAATGCGCTAAATGAAAAATATTCTAAAAAAGTGAAATGAATTACATCAAAACTTCTAAACAAATATTTTTATATTAGCGAAATTTTTAAATAAAGTAACAACTAACTGAAAATGTTTTTTTTTTTAAATTGACAGTTGTATATATTTTTTTAATTTATAACATATAAATTGTTTAAGTGTTCATTTTTATATTAAACGTTATTAAAAAATAAAAAATTGTTTTGTTTTTATAAACGATGACATTCTAAAACTGCGAAAGTCTTTTTAACGAATTAAAATATAAGAATAATTAAAGTTAATTTCAAAAGATAAACAAAATTTTGTTTAAAACATATTAAATAAATAACAAATTTATACAAATGTTGAAAACAAAGATTGAAATGGTTTTTTAATGTGTAAATTAAATAGACTAAGCATTTTAGTTTGATGAGTTTTGTTTAAGTTGCATTATATATATATATATATATATATTGCATTATATATATATTTATTTTTTTGTGTTTTTGCTTTAACTAAGTATTTTTTTTATTTTCTTTTTTGTTAAGATTTTTTTCTTTTTACAATTTTTTTTTTTTGCTAAGTTTTTGTAGCGCATTTTTTAATTTTGAAAATATGTTAAAAGCCATGGTCAAATTGTTAAAACATATTATTTTTTGCGTGGTCATATAAAGAGGTGAAATCGCACGCCTTCCTGTGAAAGCCTGAATTATAAGATGTAGTTGAATGTTTTTAGTTTAATATGTATTTTGATCTTTTTTAATAAATTTTGTTTGTAAAAAATTAAATTTGTTAAAAAATACCAATTTTGTTTCTTTTTTTTAATATTAATTTATGTTTATAAAAAAATTTTGTTGAAAAAATATACATTTTGTTTATACACTATACGCCATCAAAATTTAAGCAAAACAAAAATATTTAAATGATTTGAGCGCGCTGTGACAGTGTTTATGATTCTCCATGTAAAAATAATATTATATTATTAGTTAAAAAGTTATGAATACTTTAAATTGCAGTTAATAATTTTCATAATAATCAACAATTATCACTAAATTAGGGGTATCTAATAAGTACTTACAATGTAAAAGAAATTAAAAATCAATTTTTCATTGTGTATGTTTTTTATGGATTTGTCTTATCTGTTCAAAAAAACATTGTCTTTAATTGAAAGGATCAAATTTTTTATAAAAATAAATATTTTAATATATATTTTTTTAAACTACATTTTTTTATATATTTAATTTATTTTTTATTATTATTACTATTTTTTTTTTTCTAATTTTACTTTTATTATCTCATGTTTAACTGCAAATAATATGTATTACAAACATTTTAAATTTAGTTTTTATTTCATTTCTTTAGTTCTACTTTGGAGCTCTACCAACATATGTTTACTTTGTCTACTGTTAAAATATGGTTTTAAATTAGTAAAATTTAACTATTTAAAATTTACTATGTTGATCATTAACTAATAGTTTCAAAAGAAATTAGTTTGTTGCAATCAAAGTAAGAATAATTTTATTTTCTGGTCAAATTACAAAATTTGTTTGCACCAATAGCTATTATATTTATTTTATTTTGTAAAACAGCTGGAGCTTCCGATTGAACGTGTGCGTGAGTGTCAGCGTAGTCATTAACTGTCTTTGCAATAAATGCAATTTTTCAGATTATGACTATTTTTAACAATGCTATAGAAAAAACATCAGCAACAGTTAAATTGGTTTGTAACATTTTTCTTTTATTATATCATAATTTTTTTTTCATTTTAGATGTATCTTACAACGCTTTTTCAGCCATGCAGAACAAATAGAGGGTCCACAATTCAGAAGACACTTAAGGCGTGGGCTCAAATTTAGGGCAAAAGCTCCCTTCCTTGACACCTTTTTTTATAGGGAGCATGGATCCTGCAGAAAGTAAAATATGAAGAGATATGAAAATAATACACTACATTTAAAATTAATATTTTTGTAGTTGGGTAATCTACCAATTGTTAATTGATGATGCCGATTTAGTTTTTTTTTTTTTTTGTAAATATTTACTTGTCTTTATATATTTTGTTTTGTTATTTATAAAAAAATAGTAGTTGTAAATAATAAAACTTTTTTTAGTTTAATGATGTTTAGTTTTAAAAAAATATTTTTTGTTCTATTTAATAAATAAAATTTTTATTGTTTTGTTTGTATATAAATTTTGTTGAAAAGATATATTTTGTTCCATTTTTTTAACAACTTATGCTTTTTTCATTGTTAAAAAGTCATACATTTTGTTTCTTTTTCTAATTAATGTTTTATTAATTGTAAATAAATATATATATATACTTTGATTTGGCATTTTATTATTTTAGTAAAAGTAAAATAATTATAGAAATGGAGGGACAGTATGGAACAGACCAAGATATTTTACGGGTCTGAACAGCTAGTATATATGAATAAATATAGCTGAATAAATATTTGCATAAACTTATTTTTAATTATGAGCACTCTATTTCATAAGTAGTAAATTAAAAAACAAAAGGTGGAAGGTTAACTTAACTAGATGGCACTAGAGGTTCAAGTGTTTTTTTCCAGTCAAACTAACAACAATTTTTTTTTTGAAAAAAAAAAAGCAGTTTAACTCAACTTTATATTCAAAAATATTAAATGATTTAAATTTTTTTTTCAAACAAAAAAAGTAAATTATTTGGGTAAGTTTAACGTGTTGTAGGAAATTTAAAAAAAAAACGTGCAATTGTAGGAATATGTAAAATTTTCGTAAACATGTAGATTAACTTTTAATCTGTAAGTTTATGAAATTCACCAAGCTCACACTTTGAAACACAAACCTTGATAAACAAGGCCGCTGTGCGTAAAAACAAGTTGAGGTACTACCAGGGACAAAATGGAGATCAAACTGGAACTTCTTGCTTATCAAGCAAACACTCTACCATTACCGCATTATTATTATCAGAATTAAATTATTTTAATTAAGAATTAAATTATTAAAAATATTTGAAAATCTGCATGATTTACTAATTATTAATTATTAAGAATGAACTTGAAAAACTAGCAAAAACTCATTTAAGGAAACTGATGTTTCACTTTGTGTTGTTGTATATTGCTTTAATATAGATTCTTTAAGGACAAGAAGGAAATACTGGGTCTGAGTCCAAGATAAGTTTGTATCTAAATATAACATTTTTTTAAAAATGGCTAAATTTACACTCGAGGTCACAACTTCAAATTATGCAAATAAAGCGTAAACTTGATGTACATAGTTATTCTTTATCCCTCAGGGTTGTTAGAATTTGGAATAACTTGTCGTATGACATTGTCAATAACAAAAACATCAAGAGCTTTAAAATTAAAATTAACTCCATCTACTTCGAAAAATACTTTTCTGGCTAACTAGTTTTTGTTTTGCAAATTAAAAAAAAAAAGTAGACCTTTTCGACTATAGTGTAAATAAAATAAAAAAATATTTCAAGTGAGACATGTCTATAGTGAGTAAATTGGACTTGACTCCATTTCCTCTGTGGTTATTGACAATCTTAGACTTATATCAAGAAGATTAAACTAAAAGCAGTCAAGTTAACAATATTTTGACACAAAGTACCACTTAAACAAATAGTTACAGCACTTAAAGTTGATGTTTATTAAAAATTTCTTTTAAGTTACCCAGTGTCGAGTACTGCAACAAAATGGCTGATTCCAGATACCTGGGAAAACAGCCAAATTACAGGGTCCCTGGGTCCAAACCAGGTATCCAGGTAACTATTTACCATAATAAGTAAGGTAAAGGTAACTAATTACCATAAAAGGTCCTTTTCCAGTCAAACACTGATAAACAATTGCTCCAACACTCCATAGATCTGCTTTAGCATCATATGCTTTCGACATGATCACTTCTGGAGCCTATTAAATACAAAAAAAAAATTAAAATCTTTTAAAAAATGTATATCATACATTATTTAATAGAAAATAAAATATTTACCATATACATAGGAGATCCGCATAGTGTTGCTGCCATCATTTCTCCATGTAAAAACCGTGCAAAACCAAAATCAGCTGTAAAAGTATAAGATGTTTTTTACATAACATAAACTCTAACATTTTATAATAAAATATCTTTTCAGAAAAATTTTTGTTATGTTGATAAATGAAAATAAATAAAAATGCTAAAAAGAATCTTTTAATAAATTTAAAAAAATAACATATACTTTTTGTTAACTGCAAGATAGCAGATTATTATAAGCAAATGCAATCAAAACTTTAAAGTATAAAAACCTTTACATTAGAATAAAATTAGATGAAATAACAGACATTTTTTGAACATAAAGTAACCTAGTGTCTTAAAAATGCTAGAACTTCTTGTTATATTTTTTAGCATCATAAAATCTTCAAGTTACTGGTATGTTATATATAACTTAAATGAAA